TGGGTTCTTGCCTGGGTTTTGGCATTTTATAGAGTGTGATTGTAGCTTTACTATATGGCAGTAGTTGCTCAGTCTTCTTGTGTAATATATGGAGAGAAAGAGGCCTCCAAAGGTAGAAGGGGGAGCATATAGCAGCAAAACAGCATCAGCGGAAAAAAAAAAAAAAAAACAAGAGAAAAAAACACAATAAAACAGCAACAACAGAAACTAGACTGAATACTGCTGTCTATAATCAAGAAAAGGGAGAGGAAGGATAGAAGAAGAAAAAAAAATCTGTAGCCTAGTATGAGTATGACTTTAATGTGCTCTCTTCAGCTTCTTGCTTTCAACGCTGCCTGAGAGATTTCAAGATGCCAGTGCTGGTTGTTATGCTATACCTCATGCTTTAATTTAAATCCCGGCCTGTTTTGTTTTTAAACTCTCTTTTCCTCTCTACAACCCTGTTCTGCCCTTTCCCATATTAAAAAACAAAACAAAAAACAAACAAAATATGTTCTGGGCCTGCTCTTGGGCTGAGTATCTGTGTGCACGTGTGGCAGAAGAACCCACCAGTGATGAGGGTGGGTGCTGTCCACTTGCTCAAGCTCTCCCTCTAGTCACCAGAATGGAGGTTGGCAAACAGTGGGTGTACCAATGACCAGATACCAATAAAAGAAAAAATCAGAACAAAGCAAAACTGACAAAGTGTATTGTCCACCTTTGCTCCATGGTTCCCACGCCGTTTTTCAGTGGTGTGTCTGCTCCATCACTTGGTTTTGCCATTTGGTCTCACCCAAGGTATTGGCTCCGGGCCTCGGAACCCAGCCCGGCAGTTTCAAAAGTACACGAATTTTTTACTTTAGCTTCAAGTTCCAAATCTATAAGCCTTCAAACTTTTAAAAAAAAATCCTATCTCTGTTGTTCTGAGTTTTTGAGCTCTGCCCTGGATCTTCTTTGCCTGGTATTCTGTGGTATTGCTGACAGTGAACTTCACTGCATCTCCTCCCTAGCCGCCATCAAGCCCCACCTCCTTCTCAAAGTTTATTTTTGAAATATACATTTATATTCCCGTTGAAGTCTAAAGGATTTCAGAGGGAAAAAGGAAATATTTTCATGAATTTTCTTTAGAATTTTAGACGGTAAGGAGTCCTGGTGTGGCCCTGTTGAATAGGCACTATACTGCTTTTACTTAAAGGTCAGCAGTTCAGACTCCTCAGAAACCCTATCTGTACAGGGTCACTGTGAGTGGGAAATGACTTGACATCACTTAACAGTAACAACATGGAGCCATTTACCTGAATAGTCTCTCAGTACTTTTTACCTATGAATGCTATTTGATTGGTTGCCTTATTTTATTCTCCAAGTTTAAAAAAAAGACTGTCAGATTTTTTAAGAGATAGTTTCCATGTTCAAACTTTTATGCATTAAAAATGCTGTTTTCTGAAATTTTCATTGGTATAGAAACAATTTATCATATGCAAATGTGGATGAGTTTATAGATAACCCTCAGATGTAAATGGATTAAGTACTGTTCATTTGTACTTCCTATAGTTTCTAAGAAACATTCACATTAAATGGTACAGCCAATACTTCTGTTGTTGTTGTTGTCCAAGGAGTGGCTGGTGAGTTTGAACAGCTGACCTTGAGGTTAGCAGCCCAGTGTGTATCCAACAGTGCCACAGATTCTTAGATGCTGTAAAATCCTAAGTTATGGCAACTTTACTCCAGCCTACGTATGTCTAGTTGATAAAATTTTCTGTCCCTTTTTAAATTAAATAAACACATAACTTGCTCTTCAGCTGTAGGATATTTAGATGTACATAAAGCTGAAACCTGGTGTGGTACTATAGGATAAGCACTGGACTGCTAACTGCCAGGTCAACTGTTCAAACCCACCAGCCACTCCTCAGGAACTCTATACAGGGTCACTATGAATTTCAGAACCAACTTGAAGAACATATATAATAACAACAGTCCTTGTAAAGGAGTCTAATTGGTGCTATGGATAAGACACTTAGCTACTGCAAGATCTGTCCTTCAAACCCACCAGAACCTCTGCAGGAGAAAGATGAGACTGTCTCCTTCCGTAAAGACTAACAGTCGGGGACACCCTTTATAGGGTGGCTATGCGTCGTAATCAACTTGATGATAGTGGGTCTGTAAATCTGATAACTGTATAAATTGCATGATGCTGACAATAATCAAAACTGTTTTTGGTTGTACTCTTAAGTTGGTTAACTCTGTCAGCTGCTTGTTTTCATGTAATAGGTGCTAAATCTGAAAAAATCCAGTTCCTAAAGCTAATTTTTAAAAAGTATTTTATATAAAACAAAATATTGAAATACAATAATTTACCAATATGTAGTAAAACCTTCACTAAAGCAAAAATCATATCACATATACTTCCACAGAACAGAGTATATCTTGCAAACTATGTTTGTTCTTATGTCCTCGATGAGTAGAACAGCCTTGAGAACACTATGGGGCAGTTCTACTTTGCCCTATAGGGTCATTATGAATCGGAATTGACTTGATGACAGCCAGATGGTAGCAGTAGATTATCAAGTCATATAAATATTCATATGGCTCTTGAGACCTGGCAACCTTTTGGAGAATAAAGATTTGTGTTTACCTAAAACTTCTCATTGAACAGGACAAACAAGTGATAAAAACCTTTCCATCTATCACTTTATATTTCATTTATCTACTCCTTAATCTGAAGAAAATGATCACAGTTGTCCAGGTCACAAGAGCAGTTATATGAGTAGTTTACAAGATATATTCTGTCTGTAAGAGAATATACAGACTGATATTTTTTTTCTTCACTGAGCCCTCTGCTATATTATATACTGGTAAATTGTTTTATATATTGGTAATTAAAATCTTATAACCTCAAAAAAACATATAAAAATCTCATAAAGATTTTTTTTCAGATAAAGCGCTTATGGTGTAAACTGTATCACCTGACAGAATTGACAAACTTAATAGCAGAAGTAGTGATAGGTTTGATTATTGTCATCATGAAATTTCTACTATAATCCAAATACAAATTCAAAGTTTCTTTTGCTAGCCATTTTGGTCTTTTCTAATTTTTTTGCCATTTCATCATACCTAATACAATGGAGTACTGGTGTGATGCTGTAGTATAAGCACTGGACTGCTAACCTCAAGATCAGCTTTTCAAATTCACCAGCTACTCCTTTGAAACTCTATACAGGGTCCCTTTGAGTCAGAATGGACTCCATGGCATTTAACAGCAACAACAACAATACAATGTAAATGCTAAGCAAATAGCACTGTTGTTGTTGTCAGGTGCCATTGAGTCAGAACCAACTCATAGCGACCCCATGCCCAGCAGCACTGTAGGCCCCCTTTTAGTCCTTGAGAGATTGCTTTGACTGCTAATTGCTTTTTTATCCTCTCAATACTTTTGATACATGGTTGATTGAATCTGAGGATGTCCTGAGTGTATATTCATAATTTAATATGCTTCCTATACTATTGAATAAGGTGAAAGTTAGCAATCATGTCTTTGAACTATTTTACTTTTACTCTTTGAACTATTATATATCTTACTTTGGTCCTAATTTATTTTCTAAACTTAAAGGAATAAAAAAAAGTCAACCATCAGCTGACAAAAGGATGCTTACAGTTTTCTGAGATTCTCAAGGGCCAGTATTGAATAGCTACTGTTTATACTCTTCTCTGAGTTGTTTCAATACCCATCTTGCACAAACTTTTCAAAACCCAAGTCTGTTGTGGATTATTTCATAGGCAATGCCTTGGCTGAATTGCAAATGATTTGTTATATAATCTACTGTTATACATCTAGTCAATAGAATCATTTCATATGCATATTCAGTGTTGTCATCAGCTGTGGACATGGACGGGCATTTTAATATAACCAAAATGTGGGTAATTTTTGACTCATCTTTACATATACCATGTCTAAAATATATTAAAAACGGTTAACAACAATACAACAAAAGCATTTGCTTTGAAGTCTATTCTGACTCACATTAACTTCCTGTCTTTTGAACAGAACTCTTCCCCATAGAGTATTCAATATCTAATCTTTTTGGAAGTATATCACTAGGCCTTTCTTCCTCTGGGTGAATATGGATCATCAATCTTTTAATGAGTACTTAAATATTTAACCATTTGCACTACCCAAAGATTCTAAAATAATGTCTGGTAATTATTTCTTGAATTGTTTTTAAGTGCTATTGAGTCAGTTCCAACTCATAGCAGCAGCCCTGTAGTATTTCCAAGAAGAGGCTGATGGGTTTGAACCACTGACCTTGTGGTTATCAGTGCAGTACTTATGCTAGAGTGCCACACCTTTTCTATGTATATCCTTCTTGCAAAATTGCCATGCAAATATTTAATCGAATACCTGTAACCTTACCTCAATTTGTGTTGTATTAGATATGTTGTTGTTATTGTTGTTAGGTGTCGTTGAGGGTTTTGACTCATAGCAATTCTGTATAGAGTTTCTGAAGAGCAGCTGGTGAGTTTGAACCACCTACCTTACGGTTTAAACTCAACTTTTGATTGAGTGCTTATCCTACTGCATGCCACACCAGTTCTCCTATATTGGATATGAGAACAGATAAAATACCAGTGTATTTGCCATGGATGTAGTTATTTTGATCAGATAGTGGATGCCATATTACTTTCTTGTACTGTGTGGGATCCTATTTTAAGTGATTGTGTATCTTATTCATATCTCATAAAAACCCTATAGAATTTTATCATATCAATTTTATAATTGAGGACACCAGAGATTAAATAAAGTTGCCCTTGGTCATACAACCAATGTGCAAGAAGGAAAGTATCATATAAAGATAACTGTTTGTAATACCCACATTCTTAAACAAAAATGCATTGTTAAATGCAATATTTGGATAGTTGCTTTGAGTAGTCTCACTCATTTTACTGTTGCTGAAATGCAAAATTAGGTGATTACTCATTTCTGTTTAATCCCTGTTTCTATAAAATTTTTTTTTTCCTTTTTTTAGTGGGATGCCATTACTGAAATGGATGAGCACAATAGGCCCATTCACACATACCAGGTGTGTAATGTGATGGAACCTAACCAAAACAACTGGCTTCGTACAAACTGGATATCCCGTGATGCAGCTCAGAAAATTTATGTGGAAATGAAGTTCACACTGAGAGATTGTAACAGCATTCCATGGGTCTTGGGAACTTGCAAAGAAACATTTAACCTGTATTATATGGAATCAGATGAGTCCCATGGAATTAAATTTAAGACAAGCCAGTATACAAAGATAGACACAATTGCTGCTGATGAGAGTTTTACCCAAATGGATTTGGGTGATCGCATCCTCAAACTCAACACTGAAATTCGTGAAGTGGGACCTATAGAAAGGAAAGGATTTTACCTGGCTTTTCAAGACATTGGGGCATGTATTGCTCTGGTCTCAGTCCGTGTTTTCTACAAAAAGTGCCCTTTCACTGTTCGTAACTTGGCCATGTTTCCGGATACTATTCCAAGGGTTGATTCTTCCTCTTTGGTTGAAGTAAAGGGCTCTTGTGTGAAGAGTGCTGAAGAACGTGACACTCCTAAACTATATTGTGGAGCTGACGGAGATTGGCTGGTTCCTCTGGGAAGGTGTATCTGCAGTATAGGATATGAAGAAATTGAGGGTTCTTGCCATGGTAAGAAATATTTAACTTTTCATACATTTAAATAATGATTTATTGTAAGGTAAATATAAGTTTATTTTCAAATAATTAAATTTGAATGCTATTAGTGTCAGGCTCCATTATAAAACTCATTCATATTAACTAAAGTAATTTTTCTGTGTTTTTTTTCTTTTTCATCTCTTGAGAAAGGTATATAAAAATGTAAAAGAAATTGAGTACTTTGGTAGATGTACCTCAGTATCGCCTTCAGTAAAGTAGTAAAGTAATATGCATTTTTGGTGTGTGTCTTCATTTTAACAAGAAAGCTATAGCAACAACAGCAACAAAAAATAAAGGGAATTTGAAATGGGAATTTACTGTTCTTTATATGTAGATGGTTGATACAGATGATAATATTTGAAAATACACTGAAAATATTTTTTTTTTCATATTGAATTGTAGTAATTTAAAATACTCAAATAATGTGAAATTATAATAAAATAAATGAGGTATTTATATATTTTTTTATTTCAAAGTCTTAAAAGGATTGTTTAAAGTGCTGTTTCTTTGGTAGTTAACTAATGATCTCAGGTTTTATTTTATTCTTTGCTGCTGCTAAATATTGATGTCCTGATGTGGCGCACTGTAGGATAAGCACTGGACTGGTAATCACAAGGTTGGCAATTCAAACTCACCAGCCACACCTCAGAAACTCTATATAGCAGAGGTGAAGAACCTTTTCTCTGCCAAGGACCATTTGGATATTTATAACGTTATTTGTGAGCCATACAAAATGACCAACTTAAAAATTAAGACTGCTATATTTGGTGAAACATTTAATTAACTCACCCCTAATGTGATGGCTAGGCACTGTGGGTTAATGCACTGAAATGCAAAGTCGTTTGAACTGCAAGTCTGTGGTTCAAGCTTACCAGCTGCTCCTTGGAAACCCTATACAGGGTCACTATGGGTCAGAACCAACTCTACGACACTTAACAACAACAGTGTGATGGCTATGGGTTATGGTGCTGTGTATTAATGTGCTGGATAGCAAGGTCAGTTAGAACTGCAAGGTTGGCAGTTCAAGCTCACCACCTGCTCCTCAGAAACCCTGTACAGGATTGCTATGAGTCAGAACTGACTCATTGGCACTTAATAACAAGAACAACTATGTAATGGCTAGAATTGTGGTTGCTTTGGCAGGGCCAGACTAAATGATTTTGAGGGTCACTATGGATCGGAACCAACTCAATGGCATTAATCACAACAACAAATATACCCGAGGGCCAGATGTTCCTCACCCCTGCTATATAGTCCATATGAGTCAGAACTGACTCCACAGCACTTAACAAAATCAACAACTACTAAATATAACTTCCCAACATATAATACATTAGCCTTTTTACTTAAATAGTAGTGTTTGTATACGTTGTAATTTGCAGGAAGAACTTATATGCTACAGTCATAGTATGGCACTGTAGGATAATCACTGAGCTGCTAACTGCAAGGTCAGCAGTTCAAATCCACAAGCCACTCCCTAGAAACCCTATGTGGGGTCACTATGACTCAGAAACATCTCTAAAGCACTTAATAGCAACAACAACAAAAATGTACTAATACAATTAATAAAGTTTGTTGTGAAGTACCGTTAGGTCACTTCACTTAACAATAATAACAACCTTCTAGCCAGTGACTTACCCTCTCTTTGGAAAAACATTTTTTTTTTTTTTTTTAATGTGAGTTATTTTGATGAAGCTTGATTAATATAATTATACACATACACTTTTTAATTTTTATATGTCTCATGACACAGATCTTGTGTATCAGTTTGTGTTTTGATTTATAATGAATAATCAAAACTAAAATATAGAAAATACATATTGCATGGGTAAATAGTAGCAGACTGCAGATATTTCCTTCTCAGTGGTAGAATATTTATACAAACTTTATTTTGCCCTGTATTTAATTCATTGACTTGTCTGTTGATGGTATATTTATATTCATTTAAAAGTTTGAGAATAAAAAACATGGAAACATTTTTTGGGGGTTTGCATAGAAATATAATGTGAATTTTAAAAGTACTATCTATTTATAAATGTCTAGGATTCTTGCATATTGAAAAGTTCAATGGAGTCTCCAAAGATTATTATGTTCAGTCATTTCAGCATAGTAATATTTCCATAAGAATTACTGTTAGTACCTTTTATATAAAATATGAACCAACTTTCTTCTATTATTTAATCACTAAAGTATGTTTCATTCTAGTTGAGCAACATAGATTGAATCCAAAATGTTTATTCTCCTATAGATAAGATTTAGAATGGAGCAAAAACAAAGTCATAAATGATTCTTTCAGGGGATTTATAAAATATTTTACATTGGTAAACGCATTAAGGAAAAATTCATGCATCAATTAGGTTGAGAAGACAAAAAAGAGCTGGTGATAAAATATTAAAGTTGTTAAATGCGACCTACTCAGTTCTGACTCATAGTGACCAAATATATCGTTTTTGCGGAGCTGTTCGTGGATTTGTACTGCTGATCTTGAGGTCAACAATCCAGTGCTTATCCTACAGAGCCATACTAGGATATTACATATACTCCTATTGTTATTTAGTGCCAGTATGTCGATTTCAGCTCATAGTGACCCTGTATATAGTTTCTGAGGAGCGACTGCTGGGTGTGTACTGCCAACCTTGCAGGTCAAAGTGACCTTGCGGTCCAGCGCTATCTTCTGTAGTGCCACACCAGGAACCACAAAATTCATACAGTTTTATTACATTTTAGATTAATTAGAATGTAGACATGAATTTATATAAAAAAAAAAATCTAAAGCTTAGTAAATATTTTTAACTAGTTTTATAGTTAATTTGGAGTCCTGGTGTGGCATTGCAGGATAATGCTCTGGACCACAAGGTCACTTACAGTCACGAAGTCCATGGTTCAAACCCACCAGCCACTCCTTAGATCCCCTAAACAGTGTCAGTAAGAGTTGGATCAACTCGACAGCGCTTAACAACAACAATAGTTGTTTAAAATTATTTACATGATTAAAAGTTACTACTTAAAAAAAAATGTCACGGACTACAGGATTAAAAGTCATGACCAATCCATGCATCAGTATTTTTCACTTATCTTGCCCTGTGAAATTTTGTTCCTAATTATATTCCTTAAAGTTTGTTTGTTTGTCAAAGGGGATTTGGGATAGATGAAGAACAGATAGATCAATTATTTAGAATTTCTGCTGGGCTCGTATGTTTTTTTGGCTTGTTATCTGTATTATTTTTTACCTAATTACATAAATATAAGGGATGGGTATGAGAAATTATCCATCATCATTCTGTGGTGGATAACAGAAACTTTAAGAATTGAGCTTAATTCTAATCCTAGTACTAACTGTGAAACCATTAACCATAAATATGTAGGTACTAGTTATAATTATTGTTGTTTCTAAGTATCATCAAGACAGTTCTGACTCAAAGCAACCCTGTATAGGTATTCCAAGACTTTTAAGTCTTTACAGGAGCAGAAAGCCTCATCTTTCTCCCATGATGACATTGTGGGTTTGAACTGCTGACCTTGTTGGTCACAGTCCAGTGCTTATCCTTTAGAACCACTGTGCTCTCCTAGTTATAATTGTTGTTGTTGTTAAGTTCTGTTAAGTCGGTTTTGACTCCTAGTGACCCTCTATAGGGTTTCTCAGGAGCAGTTGGTGTATTTGAACTGCTCAATTAGCAGTTAGCAGTCCAGTGCTGATCCTACCACACCACACCAGAAATCCAGTTATAATTAGCTAATAAAATGGTACATGGAAAAGTTTTTGAAAGCATATATAGTATCTGATTTCTTTGAATTTAAGTAACCCAACTCAGCAGTTTGAAACTACCAGCTGTTCCATGGGAAAAAGATTTACAGCCTCGGAAACCCTTTACAGGGTTGCTATGAGTCCAAACTGACTCCATAGCACATAACAACAACAACAACTGAATATAATAGCTATTTACAAATAAGGCATTCAGATTGGATCTAGAGTTCTCAGTTTTAGACATGCATGTCTTATAATATTACCAGTCTACATACTGAGTATTTATTTATGCATATATTCTTGATGCTTCATATCTTTGATAATTATTTTTATCATTACCTCTTACAACTTATCTCTCAGCTAAACTTTTGAATGTCCCATAAATGAAATGACAAATTAATTCAAATTTTTATCCACATATCTAGGTCTTTATAGAGTTAAATCAGCTCTTCCCTATACTGTCATAATGCATAAATTGAACTAATTTTTATGTGATTTTCTCGTGGTGTCAGATAAAAGAGGTGTAGTAAAGGCTTGACGTGAGTGATTGCAAAGCACTGATAAATGAACTCAGTTACCTAGTTAAGGTTAGAAGCTAGTAGTATTCCTGAATATTGAACAGTTTCTGCTCATTTTTATAAAATAGGCAGGTTTTCATTAGAGGGGTTGCAGTATTATGGATCTGGAAGACTTGGAAAATACTTTTACTCTTCACTGTCACTCTGGACACTACAGACTGAGAGCAGAATTGAATACTCTAGGCCCACCCCATGACTAATGCCACACTGAAAACTAAAGCCTAGATTCCTAAGTTTCTTGATTTGAATTTGGTGTGACAATCCTCCTCCTTCCCTCCCTCTTTCTCTCTTTTTTCTTCATTGTTCTCTCTAGTTCTGTTTCCCTTCCTCTCTTTCTCCCTCCTTAGCTCTCCCTCCCTACTTCTTCCCCACACCCCTTTCTACTTGTCTGTCAATCTCTGTATCTCTCTTACTTTATCCTCCCTGAATTCATGCCCTTACTTTAATGTTGTTGTTATGTGCCGTGGAGTCGATTCCAATTCATAATGACCCTGTACAAGGTTTCTGAGACTATGAATCTTTATGGAAGCAGAAAGCTTCATCTTTCTCCCATGGAACAGCTGGTAGTTTGGAACTGCTTTCCTTGCAGTTTGCAGCCCGATTCATAACCACTACGCTACCAGAGCTCCTTTGATAACTATAACTGTTCTTGCCTGCTAAGCACAGAGCATTAAGTCCCCAAATT